TATATATATATATATATATATATATATATTTATTAACAAATACCACGCAAAGTTAGACTAAACGCGTGACAATTTAAATTAATCAATTATATATATGTTTTAGCTCTTTAAAGAAATGAGGTATACTATATATATATTAACTATTTTTTTAACAAATACCACGCAAAGTTAGACTAGACGTGTGACAATTTAAATTAATCAATTATATATATGTTTTAACTCTTTAAAGAAATGAGGTATACAATCTAACATTCTAACTTCTAGAATTTGAAAATTTTTATTAAGTGGGCTTTTAATTATAAAGAGGCTGTAGATGGGCCAGTCGAAAAAAAAAACATTTGATTGGGCAAATCTTTTTGGAAGTCTGAAGCTGGGAACTGATGGTTTTTGGTACAACAATAGCATTAAAAACTTGCAGGCGACATCCTTAACATTCTTTTTAAATTTTGGATACACGCACTCACATACATGCACACACACACATCTACATTAAATAATCATTTAAAATAAAATTTTTTAATCATTTTTCACTGTTCACACGAACAGTGTTCAACGAACACTGACGTGCACTACTCACGAAATGATTTTTTTCTTGACACACATAGTTTGAACTTTTAGAATTTATATGGTCTAAGAAAAAGTAAAATCTGGGCTATGATATTAAACTGTAACGAGCTAATTTTTAAGACATTTAAATCGTTACCAAAAGTTTCATTCAAACTTTAAATAACATGACATGCAATATCTACAAAATTTGTAACTGTAATTTACTCAAATTCTTACAGAAAATTTTATATATGCATTTATAAAAAGGAAAGAACAAAAATTTTCCTACGCCATATCTTATTCATATCGTAAATAAATAAATCAAACATACCAATATTAAATAAAACATATAGAAAGCATAATCAAATAAAATATATTCCAAATCCTAAATAACAAACTTCACATAAAAATAAAACTTGAATAATGCTAAAAATAAAAACCATAGACACGTTACACCATATTTAATTAATTTTTTTATTGAGTTCCATAAATCATGAGACTACAACTATACATCATCGCCCGCCAACTAACGATTCATTCTAAATTGTGAGGAGTAGAGGAAAATGATTAGTATATGAAAATATTCAATAGGACATGAAAAGGAAAGTTAAAAGGAAACTACTTTTTCAATTACCCCTTTTGAACCATATACACACGTGGTTGCCGTCCTTCACAGTTAGGAAACCAAATTTTGTTCAAATACTAAGCAAATAATTTCTTTAAACTTAAATAATTTGGGACTGACGTATTCGAATCAAACTTTTTTTGGGCTTAAAATAGATAATTAACTACGAGCTATCCAACTAATCCAATATTAATATACTTATCTTCGCCCTATTGAAATCTAAATATTTGATCCAAATAAAATTGAATTAATTCATATGTCACTTTAGTCCCCCCCCCACGCCCCCAAATTTCCAAAGTATTAAATATATAGCATATAAAATAATTAATTTTATTTTGTGAAAATTTTGGAACTTTATAGAAACTAGTAAACAGAGCAATAGTTGTTGCTGGTATACTACGCTTCTCTAAAAATTTGCTTTTCACTTATTCAATTGGATTGTAAACATTTTCTTTTCTAGCAGGAGATACTTTGTCAGCCTTCTGAGACATTTGTGTGTTTAATTTAGTTTTAACATATTAAGAATCGATAATCACATTCGAATAAATTTATAAAAACGAATTCATATCTGTGAAAGTCATTGTTGATATGAATGATAGTTGTAATAGCAGCCAAGGTTTTCCCCTCTTTACTCCTCACAAAATATCAGCTATCAATGGGGCAAGCCAATAAAACATATGGAGAGGAGAGGGGACCTAGCATTTATATATAGGAAATAATTTGAGTAATCCAATTACGACTAGAATTCTAATTAATGTTTATTTCCGGCCCACATACTTAAAATTACCACATCAAATTAATTACAACTCGTAAGGTGTAAAATGCCCAATTGATCACTTAATAAATTGGACCTAAACACAATATCATTATGAGCCATACATCTAACCTGTAAAATTTGCAACCAAATGTGAAACCCACATATAGAATTATTCCAACATTCTCTCACTTCGGCAAATATTTGATTGCTATAACAAAGTTTTAACACCCGAGTTAGACTACATAGGTGGCTACAAAAGTATGACTCCAATGATGTAACCTTACGTAACATGATCCGATCCAACAAGAATATAAACACCGAACATAGAAGTTATTACACCAATTAAGCGATGTAAGATCATTCCACAGCTACAAATGTCAACATCCTTATCGACATGGATTCCCATCCTCCAACCAATGTGGTAGTATGTGGTATGAACTTAGCACCAAATGTGATCAAAACTGTGCTAATTCATATCGGTCCTCATAATACTTTTCATCAAAATGAAGCCACATGTCTCCAAAAGAGACACATCTTATGCCTTTACATGTCATATCTCAAGATCATAATAATATTATAATAAAAAACATAAGTCAAATACATGCTCAAAATAGTCCATGAATAGGGAAAAAATATTCTATTGTCAAAAGGAGCTGTACTCGAAAACATATGGGTTGCCTACGTACCCCGCAAAGGGATCAAGCCCAAAACGTAGTTCTTTACATAAATAACTTCCACTAACTAAAAATATCAAATGTTTCCACAATACCCATATTAGTAACATGTGTCTTAAAGACTTTTGGAGCAAATCCCTTAATCAAGGGATCTGCAATCATCGCCTCTGTATTGATATGCTCTATTTTCGTCTGCCATTCTTTGACTCTGTCTCTAACAACCAAATATTTGATGTCAATATGTTTTGATCCACCAGAACTTTTATTATTCTTTGAAAAGAATACTGCTATACTATTATCACAGTAGATGGTGATCGGTCTTGAGATGGAATCAACAACTTTCAAGCCAGAGATAGAATTTCTTAACCAAACGGCTTGGAGTGTAGCCCCATAACATGCCACAAATTCAGCTTGCATAGTAGAAGATGCCACTAGAGTCTGTTTAGCACTTTTCTAAGAAATGGCACCACCAGCTAATGTAAAAATATAACATGAGGTTGATTCAAATCATCTTAACATCCAGCAAAATCAGAATCTGAATATCCTACCACCTCAAGATGATTTGTACGCTGTAATGTAAGCATATAACCTTCAGTTTTCTTCAAATATCTCATAACTTTCTTAGCTGCTTTCCAATGCTCTTGTTGTAGATTAGACTAGATTAGTGCAAACTTGAGCATACATCAAGCTCCCCACAACACTAGCATATGGAATCATCTTCATAGACTCCCTTTCTAGCTCATTCCTTGGACATTGAGTTTTGTTAAACTTATCTCCTTTTATGATAGGTACATCACCAGGTGCACATTTTTGCATATTAAACATTTCTAGAACACGTCGTATATAATCTTTCTGAGAAAGTCCCAATAAGCCATGATTTCTATCACGATGTATTTCAATGCCAAGTACATAGGAAGCTTCTCCAAGATCTTTCATCTCAAAATTAGCAGACAACATTTTCTTTGTCTCATGAAGCAGCCCTAAGTTACTGCTAGCAAGCAAAATGTTATCAACATATATTATAAGGAAAATAAAATTTCTTCCACTGGTTTTAAGATAGTTTTCTTTTCCTTTAACAACAAATCCTTTAGGTTGTTTTATATAAACCATTTCAGAAAGATCTCCATTCAAAAATATTGTCTTAACATCCATTTGATAAAACTCCAAATTGTAGTGTGCTATAAGAGCCATGATAATTCGAAAAGAATCTTTCGACGAAACAGGGGAGAATGTTTCAACATAATAAATGCTCTCTCGCTGAGTGAAACATTTTGCAACCAATCTTGCTTTCTTTCATTCAACATTTCCTTTTGAATCTAATTTACTTTTGAAAATCCACTCGTTATCTA